AGCTTGAGCTTTTCTAGTAGGAAATTTCATGTGCCTCGACTTGAGCAGTCTCTCTAATGTTTTCCTCCACGCCCACCAGTACTTAATATCTAAATTAACGACTCCTGCGCAGGGCCAGCCTCCTCCCCTCTGCCAGCCCTTCTGGCTGCAGACTTGGCTCTCCCTTGGTACTTCATTAGCGAGCTGTTACCACAAAATAAGAGGCAGGCAATATCTCATCTCTCTGTGTCCTTTGTTCAGGTGTGGGAAGAAGAAGTCCCCACATTGGTCCAATGTTAGAACATAATTTAGAGAGCTGCTCTCATTCTGTTTTTCTTTGCAGCTTGGAATTTTTAGGGAAGCTTAGCTCTACGGGTGGTGAGCAGGGTCAGGGAGACAGCCTTCCAGAGAAATCTCAGCATTACGTTTGACTTAGACCTCCTTTTATCTGCAAGATTATAGGACCTATTTTGAGAAGGTCGTGGTGGAGAGGAGCCAGGTTTATGTTGTTAATATCAGTAATGAGTAATATCTTATGTGGATCATAGGTCTATAGAAAGAAACCTTAGAGATTCTTTTGGCCACCAAGCCCATATTTAATACATGAATTTGAGGTTCAGAGAAGGGAAGGGATTTGCTCTGAGCTACAGTGAAACCAGAGCCCTGGGGTAGCGGTTAAGAGCTCTTCTGCTAACCAAAAGATCAGCAGTTCAAATCCACCAGCTGCTCCTTAGAAACCCTATGGGGCAGTTCTTCTCTGTTCTGTAGGGTCGCTATGAGTTGGAATCGACTCCACTGAAATGCATTTGGTTTGTTATATAGCGAAACCAGTTTTTGTTGAATCGGTTCTGACTCATGGCAACTCCGTGTGTGTCAGAGTAGAATTGTGTTCCACAGGGTTTTTAATGACTGAGTTTTTGGAAGTAGATTGCCAGGCCTTTTTTCAAGGCATCTCTGGGTGGACTCTTAACTTCCAACTTCCAGTTATCACCTGATGAGCATGTAAACTGTTTGCACCAGCCAAAGACTCTGAACCATGGCTGGGGACTTCTAACTCCCAGTCCTGGACTCTGCCTTCACTTCTGCACTGCTGCTGAAATCTAAGTAAGTCTGATTTCACATGGACAACACTGGTATCTGCTCCTGAAATGTGTCATCTGGCTCCTCTGAGTGGATCCTTGACAGCCCTTGTCCCTGACCCATCTGTGGTTAGATTGAGCTCAGCTTTTGTTGCAGCTGTAGCCTTGAGCAGGTGACAGCCAATAGATCTCTGCAGCCTCTGCTGCCTCCTGCTGCTGAGGTCGAGGACGGTTTTTAGGCCAGAGAGACAAACATACTATTTGACAAGTGAAGGCAACAGAGGAAAAAATCAGTAAAGACTCCTTTTTAACTCCGTTTCTCAGATTCTCAAGGGGAGCTCTATCCTTGGCCATGAAGCTTTGATTTTTTTTGCATCATCACAGTTGTGCACAAATGGTCATAAAATTGCCCATCTGTGTTGGTTGATTCTGTGTGTTTTATTGTCTTAAACTTCACTGGATGAGAACAGAAATGCTATTTTTGAAAATCAAACCATTCTTCTTAGCTACAGCTAAAGATCATGATTTTATTTTTTTGTAGCCCAGAATTAAAAGAAATTACAGAATCAGAGTGTTATTGGTAGATGTATCACAGAAGTTACCAAGTCACAACCTGTTTGTATTAGAGATGAGAAAACTGAGACTCAGAGAAGTTTAATAAGCAGTTTAGCAAAGTTATTTCATCAGTTTCAATCCAGATCTTGTTAGTTCAGCTCTGTCATTTATTTTGAGCCTACTGTGTACTAGATCTCGTTTTGTGGATTTTCCATAGATGCTTTCTAATTCATACATATTTCTGTGTGATACGTTTTCTCGCTTTTGTAGACATGAAACTCGAAGCTCAGAGAGCTTAAGTAACTTGCCTAGGGATAACACAGTGAATGAATGGTTGAACAGGATTTAAGAAGGTTACTTGAGTCCTGAGTTCATGCTTTTATGACTGTTTTCGTTAATGATTTGCATTATCTTAATTAACTTACTAATTTGTCTCACTGGTGAAGCCTTTACCTTGTGGTTATTGTAAGATAGTATAAAAACAGTGTTTCTTAAGGAAAATTAGCCCAGTTGAATGCAGTGACCAGTATTTTTAAATCCAGAGCCTTGAATTCTTACTGAGAACATTTTGCCCTTCTGAGCACATCACTGGGAAGGTGTATTAACACATTTGGATACTATATAGCCTTCCACACAGTAAAACAACCCTGGATCTATGAAAGAGTTCAGGTAGGAAGGTAAGGACAACTTGTACATGAGAGGGTGGTCAAAATTATCTTCTTAGAAAGATACTGACATTTTTACCTCAAGTTAATATATGAGATCATTGAAATGAAATTTCAGTTGGAATAAGTCTGAACTTTAGAATTTCTTAAAAATCAACTGACAGAAAAATTTTGTTTCTTTGACTCTACAGGCCAGAAATCATCAGTGTGCTTGTCCATTAATTTCTTCTCAGGATCTCTCTTGTCCAGATAGAAAAACTCTACATACTCGCTTTTCTCCAGGAAGATGCATGAGTGTCACTGAATAATATACGGGCCCACTAGATTGTGTTCCCTTTTTAACTTTATTCTTTATGGAAATATGTAATATCTTTCTGACTATTGGTTTTTTGACATTATGAACATAATTTAAATGTATTCTAATTACAGTATTATCTAAAACATTAAGTATTAATTCTAGGGTAAAAAGTCAAAAGTCTTTCCTCCTCTTATCCTAGTTTTTCCGGTTTTACTGTACTTACTAGGAACTCTTAAATATCTCATTAAGTCATACTTGCTGTGCCCATAGCTCATCTTGTTTCTTTTTGGCCAATCCCTTCTCTCCTTCTTCATACTCCCCCACATGGGACAGTAAGCTCCATGAGGATTGTAAATACCATGAAGATAGGAACGTTGTTTATTGCCATATAGTATATCAAACACCTAAAGTAGTATGTGGCCTGTTACAGACACTCAACTGATGCTTGTTCAATGAATGCATGTAAAGCAGTTCTTAAGGCAAAGTTATTTTAAATGAGAATAGGGATTTTGGTCCTGTTTCAGAGAGAGGTCTTTCTGTTTTATTTTTCCTTTCTAAAATCGCTGTCCCCTTCCACTTCCTAATGCTGTGTTCTCTTCTAAGGTGGTTTCGCCAGATCCTCAGGGTAGACAGAAGCATTGGGTTTTTGCTGGGAACTTTCCAGTGTTGGATGATCTTACATTTTTTCCATTTGTCTTTTTCATACTTCCTTGTCTGTTATGGACAGGGTGCCTGAATGACTTAAAATGAATGATGATGCTTATTAAATTCATTTGAACATAAGGAGTTTTAAATATATGGGAACATAATTTGTGTTTTTTACAATTATTTTTTTTATGGAAAAAATTGTAAGAATTTCTTTCCAGTGGATATAATTCCAGTAAAACATTGGCCTTGCATTTATGTCACTGGCACGCTGTAAGCCTGTTTTTTTTACATGTGATAAGCACATGAATACTTTGGTTCAGCTGTTTCTTTTAGTGCACTGCTGTGTGTTGTCTGGATACTTGGGCTATTTTCTTTTGATTTAAAGTAAATTTTTTTTCTGCAGTATGAACAATATATGTACATATATCCCCTGATGTTACCTTTGAGCTAAATCAATAGATTGGCTCATAAAATAAAGAATATTACCAGTGAGTACAGTGCACCTTTAAAAAATCATCTATATGAGACCAAATGATCAACAGTTAAAGCAAAGATGAAAGGGTGAGGGAACAGGGAAACCAGATAACTGGAAATGAAATATCCAGAATGGAATTAATGAGAATGTTGACACATTTTTAAAAATGTAACCAGTGTCACTGAACAATTTGTCTAGTAATTGTTAAATAGGAACCTAATTTGCTGTGTAAACTTCCACCAAAATCACAGTAAAATATTATTTTTTAAAAATGTGTGTACAGAATATGTAATCAGGGGAATGCAGATCAAAACCCCAATAAGATACCACTTCACTCCTACTAGGCTGGCTAAAGTAAAAAAAAACAGAGAATAAGTGTTGTTGGGGATGTGGAGAAATTAGGACCCTCATAATTGCTGTGAACCCTCATAATTGCTGTGGGGAATGGAAAATGATGTAGCCACTTTGGAATAGAGTTTGACAGTTCATCAAAAAGTTAAACACAGAGTTACCGTATCACCTAGCAGTTCCATTCCTAGGTATATATACCCAAGAGAAATAAAAATGTAGTCCACACAAAAACTTGTACATGAATGTTTATAGCAGCATTATTCATAAAAGCCAAAAAGTAGAAACTACACAAATGTCTGTCAGTTGAATGGGTCAGCAAAATGTGTTGTGTTCGTACAATAGAATATTATTTGGCAGTATTATTTGTGTAGTACTGACACATGCTACAACATGTATGAACCTTGAAAACATTATGCCCACCACAAAAGACCACATTATATGATTCTGTTTATATAACATGTCCAGAATCAGCAAATCTATAGAGACAAAGTAGATTGGTGGTTACTTAGGGCTGGAGGTGTTGGAGGGGAAATGAGAGATGACTGCTAATGGGTATGGGGTTTCCTTTTGGGGCATTGAAAATGTACTAAAATTAGTGATGATGGTTGCACATCTGAATATACTGAAAACTGTTGAATTGTACACTTTAAAAGGTGAATTGTATGGTATGTGAAATATATCTCAATAATGTCATTACAAAAATGTACATATATAAATATGTTTGTTTGTATGAGCATAAATTGTCTATGGAATGATATGCTTTAGTTGCTTGTGGGAAGGGGAGCTGGATTCCTTTGGAAGCAGAGGTGAGGGGTTGATTTTTACTAAATACCCTTTTGTTATCTTGAATTTTGTGCCATGTGATCGTATTACCTTTTTTATGAATAGGTAAAAGTTAAGTAATAAAGGTATTAATAGCTCATGTCCTCTCTTGATTTTACTGTGATCAGGTCCTTCAAGGTTTAGATTATCTACACAGTAAATGCAAGATCATTCATACTGACATAAAGCCAGAAAACATCTTGATGTGTGTGGACGATGCATATGTGAGAAGGATGGCCGCTGAGGCCACGGAGTGGCAGAAAGCAGGTGCTCCTCCTCCGTCTGGGTCTGCAGGTGAGAGAGCTGAGCCAGCAGCTTCTTTCTGTCTGTTTGGAGGCATTGAGAACTGCACGTTGAAGGCAATTGAATCAAACGTGTGTACACATTAGAAACTTTGTAAGATCCTGGTTGATAGAAATAACCGGAGCTCTTTTGAGAAGGACATCATGCTTGGTAAAGTAGAGAGCTGGCGAAAAAGAGAAAGAGACCCTCAGCGAGATGGATTGACACAGTGGCTACAACAGTGGTCTCAAACATAGTAATGATTGTGAGGATGGCATGGGACTGGGCAGTGTTTCGTTCTGTTGTACATAGGGTTGCTGTGAGTCGGAACCAACTCAGCAGCACCGAACAACAACACAGCTTTTAAGAAGGGAGATGCCCCAATTAAATTATATTTTAATATTTGAATTACTTAACTCTGTCCTCCCTTAAAATTCCACTTAAATTCTGAGCTGCTGCTTCACCTATATTTGAACATTTTTTGTGTGTAACGGGTTTTAGGTGGCCAGCTTGTGATCATCAGAATTTATTTCCAGTTTTGTTAAAATGCTTCCTAGTCTCCAGTTAGCACAGTTAAATCAATACAAGTGTAACTAGTAGATTTGGAATTAGTTACAAAAGACCTAGGGGTGGGGAAGGAAGATAAAACTTATATATTGTGTTTTATTTCTGGCTTTCACAGCCTGTTATTGTGGCAGTGTGAAGAGTTGACTTCACCTTCTTTTCACGTTATCTGTGCGCTTGTGTTGTCAGGCCGGTGTTCATGCTAAAGGATGAAAACACCTCTGACTGACTAGGATTCTTGGGAGATGTATGATCTCCTATCTCCTTTACTGCCATCAAGGTGATACTTAAGTGGTGGAGCTATAGTCTGTTAAGCCTTTGGTGGTAGCAACCTCTGGTCCTGTGATTTCTAGAATACTTGTTGCAGTATTTGATTTACTTCAGTTGTATAAAGCTTGCCAAATAGATTGCAGCATAGATAATACATCTTCTAATTTCACTTAGTCATTTTACAAATCTTGTGAAATGACTGTGACATTTATGAACTACTCCCCATTTTCTTAAATTAGCAGCTGGTGCTTTGGGATTGACTATTTTTTAAATGAATAGATATGATATTTAATTTTAGATAAATAAGATAAATGACTCAGCATGAACAATTTTTGCTTTTTAAGAGTCAGTCGTTTGAGTTGGATAAACTTTCTTTAGATCCCTATGATTAAGAAGATCTGATATTTAACAGATAAAGTTGGATAACTATTAAAAGACAATAACTATGCCATTTTAAAATTAAAATTACCTAATGAAGATAACAATTTTCCTCTAAACATTCATTTTGTTTCATTTTGTTTTAGTGAGTACCGCTCCACAACACAAACCTGTAAGTACTTACACATGTGCTTATATTCACCTTCATGTCAAAAGGGACTGTCCATTATTGAGCTTTCCAAATTGTAACATCTAATTGTTAGTTTCTTTTTGCGGAAGCTTTTCATTTAAGGGTCTGTTTGAGGGAGTTGGTTGTACATTATTTTGGTTCCTTCCTCAGTCTGCTGTAGATACTATAATGTATATAAATTTAAAAGATAGACATGTTTATACTGTATAACCTTGAATGTGTGAGACATACTGTTTTGTTTAGTTGAAGTGATTTCTGCAGAGTTGGAATAGTTAATGCTGTCCCAAGATTGATCTTCTTGTCCTCAAGCACTTTCTGGAGTGCTCCTGGCCAAGTCTGGTGAAATGTGAGGTGATAGAGATAGTGTTTGAGCTGTGATTATTCCACCATTTTGCATTATTTCTCATTGGGTTTCAAGTGACCTATTTTTCTGAAGTTGTTGATCTAATTTGTTTTTTTCCCCCGCTAGTAGTTAAATATGAAAGTGTTATCTATTTTGTGATCAGGTGAAAACACTAAGTCTGATCAGCTGAAACAGGCCGCTTGGAATTAGATCCTACCCCAGTAGACCTAAACCAAGAGACGATAGAGTATGTGTGTCATGAGTTATTGAAAAAAAATATCCAGAACTTAAGAGTGCTACAAACATCTCTTGGTTTGGGTAGCGTGCCTGAGTATGAGGGAGCTGTAGTAATTGTGCAGTAACTGGCCTACTGAGGAGGCCAAGTCCTTTCCCCATAGCTCTGCCTCGGCTTGAGTAACTTGTTCTGATTACTGATTTTGTGAAAGATTGAAGGGTCGCAGTGCTAGTACTTTCTAAGTCAGTTGGCCATGATTGGAGACAGACTGAAACTGGCTTTTTTTTTCTCTTTTCCTTTACTTCATATGCATATTTCTTATAGTTTATGTAGTCCTGGCTATTGACAACAGCTTAGTATGTGAGACCCAAACACAAAGAGTACTGTTGACCAACAGTGAAATATACCTGTTTGGTAGGCATTCTTTTTTGGCAGGCATTAGGTAAGACAATAAGGAGAGAGAATGTTGTTGTTCATGGGCAGCAGCAAATCTTGTAAGAGGTGCTTCTTATTTAAAACCAAGGGTATTTCAGCTTATTTTGTTACTTTTGTAGTTTAAATCAAAAAGACTTACTGGATTTAAGCTGTATCACTCTGAGGGCCAGACCTGGTAATAGACTCAGTTCTTAATGGTAGCCAGCCCTAGTTTTTGTTTTTCTGGTTTTACCACAGCCCTGACAGCAAGGTGGGGCTTAGGTCTGGGCATGTGATTTTAACTGACTATGACTTGAAAGACAGATTTGTTGGTATTGCAATGCTGCTGGCACTTGTGCTTTTGTGTTGAGCTTTAAAAAGAAGCAAACTGACCTATGGTATTTTTTTTTAACTTGTTGTAGATAGGAAAAATATCCAAAAACAAAAAGAAAAAACTGAAAAAGAAGCAGAAGAGGCAGGCTGAGTTATTGGAAAAACGCCTGCAGGAAATAGAAGAATTGGAACGAGAAGCTGAAAGGAAAATAATAGAGGAAAACATCACCTCAGCTGTACCTTCCAATGAGCAAGATGATGATTACTGCTCAGAAGTGAAGCTAAAAACAGCCGGGTTAGAGGAGGCAGCTGAGGCAGAGACTGAGAATGACAACGGTCAGTGAAATATGGAGATAGGGCTGCACAGGGGCCCCGGGGCTTCATTAGTAGGGACCCACGAGTCACCACATACGTTGTTTGCCTTTGTGCTTCTTCCTCAGATACTGAGGATGCTTCTCTCCAACTCCTTATTAGGGAGAATGGGAAATAGTGTGGTACTTCATTTATAAAGTGAATGCCAGAAATATGTTAATATTTCAAAATAGTTTTTTTTAAAATGGAAAATGTCTGAGAAATACCATGTCTGTATCAACTACTAATAATTGTCCTTAGTTTATTTTATAATTAACCTTTTACCTGACACTGATGTTGCACCCACAAACTTTTTCTGCAGATTGCAGAGGAGAGGGTAGAAATGAAAGTGCAGCTCTATTTAGAAATAGTTTTTTTCCCTCATAAACTACCTTATTCTACTAAAAAGCCAATTATTAAATAAATGAAAAGGTTTAGAAAACTGAGAAGTTTTACCCTGAGAGCCAAGAGGTGTTTGCTATGTGTAGTATATAAATGAAACATGTCCAAAAATGTGTCTTGTTGAAGGAGATAAGTACCTACTGCCACTGTGTTCAGGAGAGGAACACACAAAAGTTCTAATTCTTAACCTGTCAACTTTTTAAGGTGAAGCTGAGGACCAAGAAGAGAAAGAAGATGCTGAGAAAGAAAACATTGAGAAAGATGAAGATGACGTTGAACAGGAACTGGCGAACATAGACCCTTCATGGATAGAATCACCCAAAACCAATGGCCATATTGAGAATGGCCCATTCTTACTGGAACAGCAGCTGGATGATGAAGAGGATGATGAAGAAGAGTGCCCAAACCCCGAGGAATATAACCTTGACGAGCCAACTGCAGAAAGTGATTACACGTATAGCAGCTCCTATGAACAATTCAATGGTGAATTGCCAAATGGACAACATAAAATTCCCGAGTCACAGCTTCCAGAGTTTCCCACTTCGTTGTTCCCTGGGCCCTTAGAACCTGTGGCCTGTGGCTCTGCACTTTCCGAGGGATCCCCCCTTAACGAGCAAGAGGAAAGCAGCCCATCCCATGACAGAAGCAGGACAGTTTCGGCCTCCAGTACCGGGGATTTGCCAAAAAGTAAGTGTCCTTCCATCAGCTGTCGGATCGCAGCGTACCCAGAGTCATACTCTTGACAAATGCTGGAGGTGATAAAGCCATGTCTGTGTATATCAACTATTTTCATTTTTATCACTTTTTGTACTTGTGAACAAGTCATGTTATTTAAAGTATATTCTGTGCCACTGGGATTTCTCTTGCCCTCTGCATATCAAATTCCATTTCTAAGTTTTTTAAGTCTCTGATTCTTCCTGTATTTTTAGTCAGTGATATCATACATTTGCAAAAACCTTTTAGTGTCTACCACTTAAACCTTGTAGCTTTCTAGAACATGTAGTTTAATTTTAAATTCGTATATTCTTCCATCTGGTAGTGTTATATTTAGTTTTTTGGGTTTTTTTTTTTTCCAAGGAAAAATATGTGCTCAATTGGTGACATCTTTGGAGATATTGAGGAAGAAGGAGTTATTGAGATACTTTATTTTGTTAGTTGCTCCCGATTATAGGGCCCTGGTGGTGTGGTGGTTAAGAGCTATGGCTGTTAACCAAAAGGTCAGCAGTTTGAATCCACCAGGTGCTCCTTGGAAACCCTGTGGGGCAGTTCTGTTCTGTCCTGTACGGTCACTATGAGTTGGATTCGACTTGATGGTAACAGTTTTGGTTGCTATTATTAGCTGGCCCAGGATTGTATTTTAAAGGAGGCAACAAAGATTTAAATGTAATGACAGATTGTAGAGTGGATCTTGTGTTCTTAACTACCTGAGGTCCTGACTTATTTCAGACCTTTTTGGGAGCGAATGCCACATGGCACATCCCTACCTGTGACATGCTAAGTGACTTCAGTAAGCAAAAACTTTGGGCATCACAGTTGGTTTCCATTCTAGCTCAGAGTGGGAAAGCTCAGAAGCCTCTTCTGCCCCCTCTGTTGGCAAGGGTAGTTAATGCGTGGGGTGAGTAAATTGATGAACCAGTCCTATAAGGAGCCCAAGAAATTCTGCAGCACCTTTTATTCCAGCCAGCAGGTGACCTGTCCGAATGAAGTTACTCACTACCTATAACAGGTCATCCTAAGAGTGTGTTTTTACTTAACTAGACAAGTTTATCTTCCATTTATCTTTGTCCTGACCAGAGGGTATCTGAAAGTGCTTATAAAAGGCTTTCCTGTGGAATGTAGGTCCATTCCTTGGAAAGGGCAGTGATGAAAATTAACCTTCTCTGTATATGTTGTTGTTTCTGGAACTCCGATTTTATCTTAATTATAGATTCATATAGAATGTAATTTATAAAATATCTTTGTTAACATTTGTGAGTGGCAGCTTCGGGTGAGTGTCAAATACATCTTGAGATGAAATCCCAGCTCAGAACTTACTAGCTGTGGACTTTTGGTTTCTTAATCCCTCCTAAGCCTCAGTTTCTTCCTCTATCAAAGGAAAGCAATGGCTACTTCTAGCATTGAATCAAGTAATATAGGTAAATAAGTAATATGTAACATGTAATAACATCAGTATCTATTTGAAGAGAGGTTTCTCATTGAATGTAAGTTGCCTTGGTTATCAACAAACCCTGGGAAGTGGTGCTTTATCACTGCCGCTGTTGCTGTGTGTAAGCAGCTGAGGCACAGACAAGTTATGAGACTTGGGGAGTAACTTGTAGAATGAGTCTAGACAGACCTCTGGCTCCTGGTCCACCACATCATGATTCACTTCGGAAAGGAGGGAGAGCTATAGGTTTAGATACGGAAACTTCAAACTGGGGTGACTGCATGAATAGATGATAAAAGGAAAATTTCCAGTTTAGGCAAAATGAAAAATTCCATTGAAGACAGATTACTAAATTAAGAACGTGTTGCTTAAATTTAAAAAAATAATTGGGTACTAGGTCAGACAGCTGTTCACACCCCTTTATTGGCATGAGGTCATCCAGACGTCCCACTCCACCCTATCTCAGAGGGAAAGGGTTTTGACTCTCAGGTGGGCCCTAGCTCTACTGACCCTGACCACTTCCTCGACTTTCAGTCTTAGTCCTCCCATCAGTTTCTCTGACTCTTCTTTGTCCTACTGCTCCTTTTGGCAGTTCTTTTTAGTTGTTCTCCGGCTTCTTAAATGCTAGTGTCACCCAGAATCTTTGTTCTCAGCCCTCTTTTCTTTTCAGACCACTGTCTTTCGCTAATAGTCCTGAGCCCTGCCCATGATGTCCAGTGGCAGTGATGGCCAAATCCATATCCATCCATCATTCAGCAACTATCGAGTACCCAGTGTGCTAGACCATGGTGGATACTGAGGATAAAGCAGTAAACAAGGCAACAGTGCACTTGCCCTTATTCTAGCAGGGGTAGGCAGGCCATGAACAGATAATTTAGAAGATATATGTACCATGTGGTGGTAACTGCTACGGAGAAAAGCTAAACCTGAAAAAGATGATGTGCTAGGGCACAGTATGGCAGGGGCTCCTTTAGAGCCTACTGATGAGGTAACATTTGATCACAGACCTGAAGGAAGTGAGGATGCAAGTCATGCCAGCCAGTGTCCGAGGCAAGCACATGCCTGACAGAACAAGCTCTTGCTCAGTTCTCCTGTGCTCTAGGTCCGTTTATCCAACTGTCTGCTTGACCACTCTGTCTCTGTGTCACAAGGGAGCTTCACACTTAACATGTCCAAACCAGAACACAACTTTCCCTGCCAGCCTGCTGAATACTCTGTGCTCCCTAGCCTTTTACCACCATCTCCCAGTGCTCTGGTGAGAAACTTGGTCATCCTTGATTGCTCCCACATCCAAAAATTATCAAGTCCTGCCAGGTGTACCTCTTAAACAGAGGTCCTCCTTGCCTTGGCCCTAAAGTGAGCACTGCTATCACCTACCTGAACTACTACAGAGGCTCCTTCCTGGGCTCTCTGCTTTTTGTATTCTAGCTTTCAAATTGATCAGGATGCATACAATGTCAGGACCCCTCCCTCTTAGTGCTCTGGGTTTGATTTTTCAGTTAAGATGGTATCAGCCATTTTCTCCCTTGTAAAGTTGTAAACGAATAATTTCTTTTATAAGAATCAGCACAAAGCTAGTTCCTATGAGGCGGAAATGTCCAACTTTTCCAAGCTGCTGTATCACTCCATCATCTCTAACATCTCAGTTCTCTCCCTCCTGTCTTTGGGTTCCCGAATTCGCTGCAGTGTCTCACAGAACTCACGAACCATATAAAGGAAATGGCTCACGCAGTTGTGGAAGCTTGCAAGTCCCAAATTGGTGGGTCAGGCATAGACTTCTCCCTGGCCCTCAGTCTCTGCCCAAAGACACTCAGCTTCCTTGCTCCATGGGCCAGGAAATCCACTGTGCTGTCTCCTGCAGGTGTCTGACCATGGCTAGAAAGGCCACACACAAAAGTAATTTAATCAAACTGCAAGATGTAAAGATAGGTGTCTTGTTTTGTATGTTTTTATTTTTTCTTTTTGCAATTAGAAGGAGCCCTGGTGGTGCAGTGGTTAAGCATTTGGCTGCTAACCAAAAGGTCAGCAGTTCGAATCCACCAGCGATTCCTTGGAAATCCTGTGGGACAATTCTGCTCTGTCCTATAGGGTTGCTATGAGTCAGAATCGACTCGTTGAATGGCAGTGGGCTTGGTTTTGTATTTAGAAAGTATGCGGAGATAATTTGGCACTATGTAAATATCTGTTTCCTTTTCTAATTCCTCATTTCTTTCTGCATTTACTAGCTGACCTTCTGTACAGAAGAGCTTTCCTTTTCTCCCTTTTATGTTTTATAATGTACATAGTGTAGGAACAGTAGTATGTAGAATTTATAAACACGCATATATTGGAGTGCATGTTTATACATGTTTTATTGATGGGGTAAACAATGAAAAAGTTTAACAACTACAAGTATATCAGACCTCCCTAATTTATTTTCTAGACATAATAAAGAGTATATGCGTGAATGTGGCATATTCTGTCATTCTTCTGTGCCTTTTATGCTTTTCCTCCTGCTGGGACTGTTTTATTTTTCCATTTTCCATTCTTTAGCAACCTGCTGTTCTTTTGTCAGGTAGTAGCTCAGATACAGTGTACTGCCTCCTGGGTGATGTCCTTCCTGTATTTCCCAGCCCCTCTCAGTTCTCTTTGCCCATTTTTCCTACTCTTTATACCTTGTTAGTAGTCTTGTCATTGCTTGTTTGTATTATCTTTCTCCTCACCTCTTTGAGAGTGTGGTGTGTTTTTATCTGTATCCTCAAACTCAATGCTAAGGTAAATATATATTGAACAGTGAACGAACAAATGACTGATAATCTGGTTATATTCCTCTACTCTTCCTTTTCTCCAGTCTTTTTCTACTCAGAATCAAAATTTTACTGTATCCAACACACATACTCTCTCACACAACCCTATCCGTACCCAGCCTCTTACCAAGCAGACCTTTTCAATATTGTTAAATTCTAGGCATGTACCAAACAGGATCTTCTTATCTAGTCATTTGTTGGAAGCATTTGGTTTTGCTTTCCAGTTTGGTCATTTGATAGCCAGGGACAGCCTCCCATTCGGAATGTGTTTTTTGTTTCCTGAATAGAAGGTCTAGAAGGCTGGTAGTGGGTCATCTGGTACTACATTAGCATGAGGCAAAAGGAACAAGCTTTGTTCAGAGACTTTGTTTAGATCCTTGTGGTTAGAACAGAATGTACACATTAGGGAATAGTAGAAGAAAAGGTCTTTTTCCTAGAGTATTTGATAGCCATCGAAGGTTGAGAAGAGGAAGCAGGTTTTCTCTTGGATCAGCAGCTGCTAGAGCCATGGCACCTATCTTGGCTCATCACACTTGAAGTCCAGAGGTCCTGGGGCAGTGTTGTCTGTTGGCTTTATCTGCAGGGTATATTATTAATCCTTTCACTCTCTCCCAGTGATGGCCCAAGTCATTGTCAGTCCTTGCCTAGGCTCTTGTAATACGGCCTCCACATGCATCTTCTGTCTTCAACTCGTGCTCTCTAGTCTGCTGTCTGTATAGCAGTCCAGAGAGATCTTTTCAAAGCACATCCCGTCA